ATACCATTTATCATATTTTACTATGTGTTATTGTACAAGAAAACCTCAATAAATTCTAAAATACAAATATAATACAGACCACAGTGTTTAAGATAATGCAAAAATATAGTTATTAATTACGAAAGTACAAACACACAAAAGACTCTGTCACTAAAAAGCAGATTTGGGGCAATCTTTTCGGTTCCCCTCCCACTGTGGGAACTTTTCTGTCCTCTCAACAAATCCTGCTTTTTCACTAAATAAATAAATAAATGCAGATTTTATCTATATCAGATTAAAATAGTGATATCTTCAACTCTAATACAGTACCACATTTCATTCTGGCCTTTCCCATTGCTCATCTGTAATTTTGTTCTCTGCCTTCCATCATCCATTTTTTTAATTTTCTCATTCCTAGTTTACATGTGAAACAATTTCAGAATTGTTAATCCATGTCCCATTGAGTAATTATTTTACCAACTAAAGTGTAGCTTTCATATACAGTTTATTTTGTGTTTAGTTTTTCCAGTCAAAACATCATTTACCAATGTTTCTTAAGTCAGCTAATTTTTTCCTAACTTCCATTAGTAACATTATATCATATATTTACAAAGCAGTTAAATTATTTTATTATACTCTACATATCATCTTGGAATCCTCTGTCCTCTTGGTTGAGTTTTTAAAATTTTCATACATTAAAATCAATCTTTGTGATATAAAATTATATGGTTTTGATAAATGCATCATACTTTTAATTTTAAACTGCACATACAGTGTAGCACTATATTTGAACTGAATTTCTTACATAAAATATATATAGTTAGATTCTTCCCTGCTTTCCTATATTTCCAATTTGTATTCTCCTTTACAGTTATGATGGCTTCATTGTATTTTAGAACTTCTTGTTGGAAAGTTGGATTGTAATTTATCTGCTTTACCTTATTATTTTGTTGTTAAATTAAAATTTTCATCTATTTTTGGCAACTTTTTTGTGTTTTTACTTTAGTTATTAAGGGCTACTTTTTTGCATTCTCTTAAACACTGTTGTCAGTATTATATTTTTATTTTATAATTTATTGAGGTGTTCTTATACAACAATTCATAGTAAAATATTATAAATGGTAATCAAGCTAATTGATCAAGCTAATTAACATATCCATCACTTCACATATTTACCATTTTTGGTGACGAGAATACTTAAAATCTACCCTCTTAAAAATTCAAGTATATAATACAGTATTATCAAATATAATCATCATGTTCTTCATTAGGCCTCTAGAACTTATTCATCCTATATTTTTTTTTAGTTTTGTATCATTTGGCCAATATCTCCTCATTTTCCTTCTCCCAACTCCTGGTAATCACCCTTCAACTTTGTTTCTTTGAGTTTTACTTTTTAGGTTCCGTATGTAACTGAGATTATGGAGAATCTACCTTTCTGTTTCTGGCTTATTTCACTTAGCATAATGTCCTCCAAGTTCATCTATGTTGTTGCAAATGGCAGGATTTCCTTCTATTTAAGGTTGAATATTATTCCAATGTATATATGTGTACACACACACACACACACACACACACACACACAATTCTTTATTCATTCACCCATTGGCAGACGATTAGCTTGTTTTCATGAAAAAAATGTGAAAAAAATGTGACAATGAACATGGAAATGCAGATTCTTTTAAAATAGTGATTTTATTTTCTTTGTGTATATATATATATATATATATACTCAGAAGTGGGATTGCAGGATCATATGGTAGTTCTATTTTTAATTTCTTTAGAAATCTCCATACTGTTTTGCATAATGGCTGTACCAATTTACAATCTCTACAACAATATAGAAGGATTCCCTTTTCTCTACATGCTCAACAACACTTTTTATATTTTGAGATTTTTTAATAATAAACATCCTAATAGGTGTGAGGTGATATCTTATTGTAGCCACTAAAAATGGTCCTGACATGAGATCAGGAGAGTGCCATTAGAGATAGAAGAAGTAAGTGAAAAAGACAGCTTTTCTTTTCTACACGTCTTATGCAGCCTTTACAGTCTCAGTCCAGGGAGAGACTGCCCAGTCCAGGGAGAGACTCCCTCAGAAGCAGAGAGCTCCTCTAAATAAAGAAAAAATCACCAGCAGGAGTCAAGTGGAGTCCAGGGAACCCTAGTTCCCAGAAGTCCAGTGCTGCATGGGTATGTGTAAATTTACTGTTGCTCTGGAGTCTGGGGCGCAGGTGTGCCTGCAGCAGTAGCAGTTCTGGTGTCTGTAGTGAAGATGCATGTGGAGTGCTGTGAAGTTGGAGTCTGGAGCATGGGCATGTATATAGTTGCTCCAGAGTTCAGGATGCAGACTAGCTTGCTATAGTAATGGCTTTAGTGTATGAAGCATGGACATACATGCAGTTGCAACAGAGCTGGGGCCTAGAATGTGGGTATGCAGAGTGGCTGTGACTCTGGAGTCTGGGGCATGCATGGGTTCGGTGAGGGCGAGGAGGATGGCCCTGGTCCTGAATAGCACAAGAGTGGGTCTTTATTGAAGTTGAAGCATGCAGCATCTGCCTCTCTAGGGATGTCTAGAACAACAATGGTTGTCGGGTATCTTAGTGGCAAAAAACAGCAGTGTCCTCTGTGTAGTAGGCTGCTGAAGTCCACATGGATGAACACTTAAGGAGACGATATCTGCTGGAAAAGCCATAGGGAGTGTGTGGTTGCTTCAGGAGTTTTTGAAGTCCTCAGCAGAAAAGGCTGCTGAAGTCCTTTGCAGAGCAGATCATTGGAGACCACAGCAGTACATGCCACATGGCTGATTTTGAAACTCACACCCTTCTTCTTTGTTCCGTCTCCAGATGTCTCACTCATCCAAACTCCTTAGAAATTCTTTCTGTGTGGTTTATTCTGGTTTTTGCTTTATTGTGTTGCTGTACATTCTTAATTGAACTCTTGAGCCCTTCTAGGCTATTTTGGTTCATGGACAGCCTTCTAATTTTTTTTTTTTTTTTTTTAGTTGGAGTCTCACTCTGTCGCCCAGACTGGAGTGCAGTGGCCGCTCCCGGCCACCGCGGCCTCGACCTGCTGGGCTCCGGCAATCCTTCCGCTTCAGTCTTCCGAGTAGCCGGAATTACAGGCGCGCGCTACCACACCCGGCTGATTTTTTGATTTATTGTAGAGATGAGGTCTCGCTGCCCAGGCGGGTCTCGAACCCGCGGGCTCAGGCAGTTCACTCACCTCTGCCTCCCAAAGGCGCGGGATTACAGGCTGAGCCACCGAGTCCGGCTGTCCTTCTAATTTTTTACTGTGAGAGACACAGGCTGGCATCTTCTACGACACATTCTTGCTCATGTCATTTATCTCACCCTCTTCTTGTAAAGACATCCATTATATTGGATTAAGGCCCACTCAGGTGATCCCAGTAGCCTTAATTACTTCTTTAATGGTCTTATCTCAGCTGGGCTCAGTGGCTCAGCCTGTAATCCCAGCAGTTTGGAAGGCCGAGGCGAGTGGATTGCCTGAGCCCACGGGTTCAAGACCAGCCCCAGCAACCTGGCTGCCCTAGTCTGTACAATAAATCGAAAATTAGCGGGGCGTGGTATCGCACACCTGTAGTTCCGGTTACTTGGAAGGCTGAAGTGGTAGGAACGCCGGAGTCCAGCAGGTCGACGCTGGGGTGGCTGTGAGTATGCCATGACACTGCAGCCTGGGCAACAGAGTGAGGCTCCAACTAAAAAATAATAATAATAATAAATAAAGGTCTTATATCTCTAAATACAGTTACATTCTGAGGTGCAGTAACTTCAAAACATGAATTTCGGGGGAGACACAATACAATTCATAACAGGTGTGTAGAAAATTGTTCTGGTTTTCATTATCTTTTTTCTTACAGTATCTTTGTATGAATGCTGTGGTAATTCCATTTTTGTTTCTCATACTTGAATTTTTAAATATAATTATCATGAGATTCTTTTTTTTTTTTTTTTTTTTTGAGTTGGAGATTACTCTGTCACCTAGACTGGAGTGTAGTGGCCGCTGCTGACCATCACAGCCTCGACCTACCGGGCTCCGGCGATCCTCCCGCCTGTCTTCCAAGTAGCTGGAAGTACAGGCGCGTGCTACCACGCCCGGCTAAGTTTTTGATTTATTGTAGAGATGAGGTCTCGCCAAGTTGCCCAGGCGGTTCTTGAACCCTAAGGCTCAGGCAACCCACTCACCTCAGCCTCCCAAAGCGCAGGATTACAGGCTGAGCCACCGAGCCCAGCTATGGAGATTCTTATCTGTGTGTGTTGATGGGAGGTTTCTCAGGATTGTTTTCAAGTCCTTACCTCTCAAAAGCTCCCTCCACAAAATATGAGACATTGTCTTATGGAAATGATTTGGTAAGAACTGATATGCAGCAACTAAAAAAATCAATTAACATTTAGATCAAAATATTTATAAGAACTACATAAAAACTGTCAATAGCTTTTGGTAGTTCATAATAATATAATAGTCTTAGAAAAAAAATGTTGGGAGGTCATACCAGGATTGTGGAATTATACTTTTATACTTTAGTTTTTTTAAAACCCTAGTATTAATCTCTAGCTAATCTCTAGGATAAAGATTTACTTATCTTTAGCCTTTCAATCCTACTATTCTTACCTATTCACAACGACTCAAAAACAGGTTTTCATTGATTAATGACTGACTGTATGTTCTATCAGGAACTCAATTCACTCTAGAATTTATTCTGTATATTATTTCCAAAAACAGTTTGAAATATTTATCTTCCATATATAGTTTATATATGGTATGGCTATGTGGCAATTCTGTTTTCTACAATAATTCCATTGCTTATAAAATTTTGGGCTTCTAAAGCTAATAACTTATTTTGGTATAACAAAATTTTCAGAAGAAAATAAATAATCATTTTTATTTTAAAACATAGGTATTGATAAGGCATGTTTTGTAAGACAAGTAACCACTATTTTTTGACTGGAGTAAATAAAAGTAAAACAATAATAATCATTATTAAAACAATATATTCATACCTGACAACCAAAGAAAAATATTATTCCCTAGATCTTCTTTAAATTCATCATTAAAAAGTTTACTGGATTCTGGAAATGCTTCCTGGAATGTTGCATAGATAGCTTGTGCCAAACAATCAGGATATACCTACCAAAATAGAGTCATATTAGTTTATTCCTACATTTTATGCAATATATGTCAACTATTAAAGAAATTATTATTTATTATTTATAAAATACTTATTTTCCTTTTTTCTTATAACTTGTTTTTGGACATTTTATTACTTCTTTTTGAATTTCTATAACTGAGGGACATTAACAAAAAAGGGTGGAAAATCAAGTCAATCTGACAGCATTATGAAAAAAATGAATTCAGATAAAGAATGAAGTCAACAATTATTTCTCTTATCTTTGCTATTGTTATCCCCTTTTATAATGTGATATATACGGGTCATAACAACAAAAAGTATATTTTTTAATAACTGAATGTTGTTTGGGTGAGTTTATATGTTTAAGTAGAATTGTTTAAATATTAAAACTATAATCAGATATCAAGAAATATATGGCATTACCAGGATCCTGTTAGCTTTCAAATCCCTAAACTACTAAATTCTTCTCAGGGAGTAATTAAACTTAGAAAGATATCATATTTTTCTATTAAACACAAATTTATACAACTATTTTGGCATCTTGTATTTAGATAAATATTTACAATCACATAATAGGCCTATAAATTGTAAAAGCGTAGAATTAGAAGGTTCCTTAGAGGTTAATCTGATAGACTAAACAATGGTCCAAAGATATACATGCTTTAATCCCTGGAACCTGTAAATGTCATTTTATATGGCAAAAGGGCTTTGCAGATGTGATTAAGTTAAAGATCTTGAGATAAGCAAGTTATCTTGGATTATCCCATGGGCTCTACATGTAATCACAAATGTCCTTGTAAGAGGAAGACTGAGGGAAATTTGACTATAGAAGAGGAGAAGGCAATTAAACATCAGAAGCAGATGCAACCACAAGCTAAGGAATACCGGCAGCCACCAGAATATAAAAGATGCAAGGAACAGATTCTCCCCTGGGGTCTCCTAAAGACACCAGTCCTACTGAAACTTTTATTTTTTAGCCCTATAAGGCTCATTGTGGACTTCTGGCCTCCATAAACAACAAAAATAAATAAATAAATTTCTGTTGTTTTAAGTCACTAAATTTGTGATAATTTTTTATAGCAGCAATAGAAAACTAATACAGTCACCTAATCCAGTAATGCTCCAATTTGTTGGCAAGTTTTGATATTCTTTTAAAATCTCCATGATTTGGGGGGAGGAGAGGGGAGAAGGGGAGAACTCCATAATATATTCATATATTTAACTTTTATTGAATGAGTCATGAACATTCTTACTATCAGAAATGATCATAAATTCTATTTGTGGTATACCAATGATGAATAAGGGGAGCTTCTAAACATTTTCTGTGAATATCCCACCTTCAGGAGATTAAAGGAGATCAAATGTCAAACTATTTGGAAAATTTCTGAAGAAATACCATGTGTGACATTGGAAGAAAGGAAAGTAAAATTCATACCAAATATATTTAGGTTCAGAATAACTTGTACTGGATTGTGGGATCCAAAGATAATTTTTTCTTATTAATAGTAATTCATTTATTTTCCTTAGGTAAGATAAGTCAGATGAGTCATAGGAACAAATCCCACTTATTTGAATGAATTAAAAATAGTGGAGATTGGTCAATGAGAGATGAGGCCCACTTATACTAAATAGCTCTGGAAGACATAGACCTGTGGGGAGGTGGCCTGGCTCTCACACATAAAAGCGAGGATAAAGAGATTATTTTTAAAAGACTCAGCACAAATCAAGGAGTTTAATCACTAAGGTGAACGTCTTGTTTTTTTTCAAATGAAACTTTGAATCTTGATTATCAACTTCTTCCTGAAAAATGCTACTGAAAATAGGAACTAAGAGAAAGTAAGTCTTGATCTGAGACAGGTTGTAAGTACAAGATCTATCAAAATATACATCCATCCCAGGGAAAAACATTTGGACCATAAAAGTAGGACCAGAAACTAGAGAATGGGATATGCAATGGTACTGCCACGTCCTTCTTTGTCCACATTAAAAGGCCTCTCTCTTATCCTTTAAAGAGCCCTGTGTTAAAGCATGCTCCATTTCATTCAAGAAATAAGCACACTCAGTAAATACATATTAACATAAAACCTACAAAAGAATAGACTACGTAAAAAATATGAGTAGAAGAAATAGCTGATTTGTCATCTCTAAGCAACTGACTTGCGAAATGCCTAATCAATAATTTACTTTTTCCTGCAAATTAAAAACATCAATATTATCAGAGAAAATCCTAGTCTATCTTTCGGAACACCACTATTCCATAACACAACAATCAAAAAATCATGGATCTATCCAACCCCTTCATTTCATAGACAACCCAGCTGTTGATCTGAAAGGTTGAGTGACTTTCTAAGATAATTCAGGTAATTAGCAGCAGATTCTGAACATGAAGCTGAGTCTCTCTATCCCCAAAATATTACGAGTTTCCCTCTACCACACTTTACATATGTGTTTTTGAGTAAGATAGGCCAAGATTAAATGCAAATATTTGGCAAATTTGTGAATTTAGTTTTGTTTATATTTTTATTGTAAAGGACAGTTAACTTTTTAAGTCTGCCTTACTCATGAAAACATCTGCAAATTCCAAAACACTTGTGAATTTTTGATTTACAGGTTGCCAATGCTACAAAATATTTAAATATGGCTGTGTTCAGAAATGTGAGATGTTATACTTAAAAATACCCAATAAGATTCCTACAGTCTTCGCTTCAAATTACTCAAGAACATTAATTATTTGAATCGTTCCTATTTACTAGTTACTGTAACAACAGAAAAGCAAAACAAGCATTTGATTCATAATTTTATGGATTGCATTTTACTGTAACAGGTACTTAGTCCTTAGGTATAATATAAAATACTCTTAAATGAATGCATATTCATTAAAAAGTAAAAGAAAAATGACATGTAATTTTGTAGATCAATAGAAAAAAATACAAGAAAACACATAAAAGTCAATAATTTTCAAATTATTAATAAGCAAACAAAATACCTTTACCACTAGGGAGAGTTGGTAAGAATTTGAGGCAAGGAAATACAATATTCTGTGGGGGATGGTAAGAGCTTAACTTTACAAATATTTCCATTATTTACTCTATGCCAGACAATTTTGCCTTCAAAGGTAAAAAACTGTTCCCAGATGTGTTTTAAAAACAACTATATTTTTCTATTTCATTCACTAAAAATAATTGGCATAACTATTAATTTCTATGTTTACCTGAAAGAATGCATCCTTTCGCCTTAGAGGTATGCTCATGAAAAGTGTCACATAACTTTCTGAAATTCTATCAAATAAGCAATCTTGATTTTCTCTATCAGGCTTAAAAATGTATGAAAGTAAAGTCAATATTACAATGTAAAAGTAGAATTTGTTTGCATAATGTCAGTAATTTTATTTAAAAGAGATAAATTAGTATAGTAGAATGAGCATACGTTTTAGTATAATGTAGATCTGAATTTTCACACTCACTTGCATTACCCTGGCAAGTTAATTAAGTCCCAGTTTTCTCATCTGTCAAATGTAGGTAATTTATACATACCTTAAATTAGTATAGTAAAATAAATAAGGACAAAGGTAATATTTATTGAAACTTTGTATTTCAAGTCCTTGGCAAGTACCTTTGTACACAGAAAAAAAAAATGCAAGCATTTGATGAGTTAATGAAGATTCTTGAACACTAGTTGTTATAGTAGAAGGGCATCCATGATTTAGTTAGCGTCTACTGCTCTATAACAATTCCAACTCTTTCAATATCAGTAACTCACGTGAAATTTTCTTTATTTTTTAACTTTATTTTATTATAGAGATGTGGGATACAAGTCAGAATTAGGTACATAAGTAATATGCATGCAGGTGAAATTTGGGCCTCCAACTGGTCCTCACTTCCCCTGGTCTAGGACCAGGTGCCCTTTTGTTATGTCTCCCATCCCTCCCTCTCCTGGCAGTGTCCTGCAACGCTGATCTCTCACATGTGCTATTGTAATTAATGTTCAGGTCCCACTTAAGAGTGAGAACATGTGGTATTCAGTTCTTTGTCTCTGTGAAAGATCAGTTAGTATGATGATCTCCAACTTCATCCAATTTGCTGTGAAGTCCATGATTTTGTCCTCTTTTATGGCTGTGTAAGACTCCATCGTGTATATGTACTACATTTTCTTTATCCAGTCCACTTTCAGTGGGGAGTAGGGTTGGGTCCATGTTTTTGCTATTGTGAATAGTGTGGCAATAAATGTGTGTGCAGGTGTCTTTTTGTAGAACAATTTATGTTCCTCTGGGTATATTCCCAGAAGGAGGATTGCTGGATCATATGGAAGGTCAATTTCTAGTTTATTTAGAAATCACCATACTATTTTCCATAGAGGTTGAACTAGTTTGCGCTTTCACCAACAGTGTAGAAACGTTCCCTTTTCTCCATACCCATGCCAACATCTGTTGTTTTTTGATATATTAATGATGGCCATCCTTATTGGAGTCAGGTGGTATCCCAATGTGGTTTTGATTTGCATATCTCTGATGATTAGTGAGGCTGAACATTTTTTTAAATGTATCTGTTGGCTGCTCTGTCTTCTTTTGAGAAATGTCTATTCATGTCCTTTGCCCATTTTTTGATCAGGCTGATTATTTTTCCTTTTGGCTTGAGTTCCTTGTAGATCTTGGATGTTAGGTCTTTTTCAGACACATAATTAGCAACATTTTTTCCCCATTTTGTGGGTTGTCTCCTCACTCTCTTGATGGCTTCTTTTGCCATGCAAACATCTTTCAGTTTTATGGTCCCACCTGTCTATCTTAGCTTTTACGGCATACGCTTTTGGGGATTTGATCAAGAATTGGTTGCTTAGTACCATCTGCTAAATAAGGTTTCTTTTCCTGGTGGTTGTTATTGATGGTTTTATTGAAGATGAGTTGGTTAGGAGATTGATTTTTTGTTCCTGAATCTCTGTCCTGGTCCATTGGTCTATATGCCTGTTCTTGTACCATTACCAGACTGTTCTGATGACTGTATTGTTATGGTAAAGTTAAAGTTTGGAAGTGTGATACTTCAAATTTGTTCCTTTTGCTGAGAATTGTTTTGGCTATCATGCTCTTTTCTTTTTCCATATGAATTTCTACATTGTTGTTTCCAAGTCTGAGAAGAATGATGCTTATAGTTTGATGAGCATTGGATTGAATCTGTAGATTGCCTTGGGTAGGATGGACATTTTGACAATATTGATTCTTCTAATCCATGAGCAAGGAATGTTTTTCCATTTGTTTGTGTCATCTTTGATTTCTTTGAGCAGTGTTTTGTAGTTCTCATTGTAAAGGTCTTTTAGTTCTCTGGTTAGGTAGATGCCAAGGTTTCTCTGTGTGTGTGTGGCTATTATGAATGGGAGTGTGCTTTTTATTTGGTTCTCTGCCTATTTGTTGTTGGGTGTATAGAAATGCAATTGTCTTTTGCACGTTAATTTTGTGCCCCAGACTTTACCAAAGTCACTAATCAGTGCAAGGAGGTTTTTTAATGGACTCCCTTGAGTTTTCAAAGTATAGGATCATTTCATCTGTAAAGAAATCATTTGGGCTTTAACTTCCTCTTTTCCTATTTGGATACCCCTGATTCATTTCTCTTGCCTGACTGCTTTAGCAAGGACTTCCAGCACCATGTTGAACAGGATGGGTAAAGAGTTGTTTTGTTCCCATTTTCAGGGGGAATGCTTCCAACTTTTATTCACTGAGCAATATGTCGGCTGTGAGCTTATTATAAATGGCTCTTACTGTTTTTAGGAATGTTCTTTTTATGCCTAGGTAGGTGTTCAAGAGTTTTTTTTTAATCAAGAAGGGATGCTGTATTTTGTCAAAAGCTTTTTCTGCATCTAATGACATAATCATGTGGTTCTTGTTTTTACATCTGTTAATGTACTGAATTATGTTTATGGTCTTGTGGATGTTGAACCAGCTCTGCATCCTGGGAATGAAGCTTACTTGCTCATGAATGATGACAATTTGCTAGAATCTTATTGAGAAATTTTGTATTAGTTTCTCCAAGGAAATTGGCCTGTAATTCTCACTCCTTGTCAGGTCTTTGCCAGGTTTGAGTGTCAGCATGATGTTAGCGCCATAAAATGATTTGGGGAAATTTCCATCTTTCTCTATTGCCTGGAATACTTTCAATAATACTGGTATCAACTTTTTCAGCTGGAAAACCATCTGGTCCAGGGTTTTTGTTGTTGTTGTTGTTGTTATTTTTCTGGGTAGGTAGATTTCTTATGACATAGTCAGTTTCCTGGATAGTTACTGGTTGGTTTAGGGTTTCACTTTCTCCTTGTTCCAACTTTATAAGGTTGTGTGATGTCAGAAATTCCTTCATTTCCTTTAGGATTTTTAGTTTATTTCCATACAGGTGTGCATAGTAATCTCTGATAATCTTTTGAATTTCTTTGGGGTCAGTTGTGACTTCATCTTTTGCATTTCTAATTGTATTTATTTGGGCCTTTTCTTAGTCAAGTTGGTTAGGGGGTCTGTCAATCTTATTTACCCTTTCAAAGAACCAGTTTTTTCTCTTGAGATTTTTTTCTATAATATTTTTGTCTTCTATGCCCTGCAGTTGTGACTTTATTTGGTGATTTTTCTGCTGAAGTTAGGATTTTGGTGGTCTTGCCTTTCTAGCTCCCTTAGGTATGATGTTAGGCTGTTTATTTGTGATCTTTCCATTTTATTGGTGTGTGTTCACAGACTTATAATTTTTCCTCTTAATACTGCTATCATGGCATTCCAGAGATTTTCAGATGTGTCTTTGTTTTCATTTGTTTCCAGGAATCTTTTAATTTCTGTCTTGATTTTCATGTTGACCCAGAAGTTGTTCAACAGTATGTTGCTTAGTGTCCATGTCTTTGTGTGTTTGGGGGGGATTTTGTTGGTGGCAATATTTATTTTTATTCCACTGTGATCTGAGAAAATGCATTTTTTTATCTTTTGGGTCTTTTTATGCTTGATTTATATCTAAGAATGTGGTCGATCTTGGAGTATTTTCCATGTGCTGATGGGTAAAATGTATACTCTGTAGTTGTCAGGCGAAGTGTTCTATAGATAGCTATTAAGTCAATTTGATCAAGCATCAAGTTGAATTTCCACATCTCCTTATTGACTGTTTTTTTTTTTTTTGCCTCAATGTTTTATCAGGGTTGTTAGTAGGGTATTTAAGTCTCCAGTTTTGATTGTGTAAAAGTCAATGTCCTCTTTTAGTTTACTTAGTAGTTGATCTATAAACCCTGGTGCTCCGGTGTTGGGTGCATATATATTTAGAATGGCTATTACTTGTTGGTGTACCACACCTTTTATCATTATGTAGTGTCCTTCTGTATCCTTTTTAAGTTTTGAAGCTTGAAGCCTGTTTTATCTGATATTAAAATAGTTACTGCTGTATTTCTTCTGTTTTCCATTCACCTGAAAGTTTATTTTCCAGCCTCCAATTTTGAGTCTGTTGGTGTCCTTTGTAGTGACATAGGTTTCCTGTAGACAGCAGATTGTTGGATCATGCTTTTTTATCCAGTTTGTCACTCTATGTCTTTTCAGTGGTGCATTTAGTCCATTCACATTCAGGCTGATTATTAAAATGTTTAGAAGGCTGTTTTAACTTTTGCATTAATATATGTGTGTGTTTTCATTTTCTATGGGTGCACTGTATGCTCTGTTGACTCTGTATTTGCCTGTACTCTTATGAAGTGCATGGTTGTTCTTTTTTTTCTTCTTCTTCTTCTTCTGTGCTTAATACCTTCTTAAGGATCTCCTGCAGAGCTTGCCTGAAAGCAGCATATTCTCTTAGGGATTGGATAATTGGGAAGGATTTTAATTTGCTTATCATTGAGAACATCAAAAATTGGACTTCAAATCCCTCTGGTTTGTAATGTGTCTGCAGATAAGTCTGTAGTGATTCTGATTGGTCTTCCCTGGTAGGTAGTCTGAGCTTTTTCTCTCACTGCCTTTAGGATTTTTTCTTTCATACTTACTTTGTGTGGCCAAATTACTATGTGTCTTGGATTTGGTCTTTTCATGAGATGGCTTGTGGGGGTTCTCTGAATTTCTTGTGCTTATCTCTGGCAAGATGAGGAAAGTTTCCTTGGATGACCTCATGGAATGCTGTTCCAAGGTGTTCTCCATTTCCCTTTCTATTTCAGAAATTAAAATATTTTCTTGGATAAGACAACCACTAACAAAATTGTGACATGATACACTAGAAACAAAGTAAATATGTTGTAAGAAGGAAAAAAAATCTCTATAATAATGTCAATATTATAGTTAAGTTCTAATGTAGCACCCTGGATTCTGGCTCAATTAAGCAATGA